GAGAGTGTCTCCATACAAATTCATAGAGAAAAACGGGTCAACTTTTTAATATAATTTTGGCTGATAAATAGTTATGAGTGATTCCTTTATAACTTCTATATTTATTTTGTCGTATAAGTTTTGCATCTTTTTTTAACGCAAATCTCATTTTATTTATTAAATAATTAAACTTATATTTATGGCAAAATACATTGTGTGCATAATTATATAAGTATATGAACATTAAAAAAAACGAGTCAGCTAATTTGACAAATAGCTGACAATAAGTTGACTTGTTTTTGAGGTTCGTTACTCTGTCTATATAATCTAAGGTTATAATAGCGTATTAAATTTAATATAATTTTATTGATACAAATTCTAAAATCTCAATCAATACATTGTAACATTGTTGATTATATAATAGTTGTAATCGTGAAAAGAATTGTAAATAATAAAACCAATCTTGTAATTGATAGTTATAAGGATACAATAAAATTCTAGTCTATGATCAGCTAGTCATCTTAGATAGTAAATTTTGTTACTTTTGCACAATTTTAATGTTAAAATAAGTGTCCACTATGTACGGAACTAGACGTTTTATTCACACATACACAAATGCAGAATTTATTGAAATAGTCGAATTGTTAGTGAGCACAATTGCTTTTAGATATTCCACTATTTTTTGTTGCCACGATTTGAGTTCGAATTTACGGGATAAGTCGTAAAGTGTATGTCGATTCGAAATACTCTGTGATAATATTAATAAACTGAATAATTTTCCATTTTCATTTTGTGGGAAGTTGTTTAGTTTCATATATATTATAATTACTAGGTATCGGGTTGATATAATCTTTGTAACTAAATCTCTATGTTGAAAAAATTATAATAGAAAAAAAAATCTAGTATCGCCTATTGCGATGAAAATCGCAGAAGCTGTTATATCTTGTAGTGAATTGATATTATATATAATTGTCCGTATTTAAATTTATATTTGGTTTTAATGTACGTATATTTTTATACAAAATGATATTTGTGATTCCCTGTGAAAAAAAAAACTAATGCAAGAATAATTCGTATTATAAAAATTCTTGTTTTTTTTTATATATTGCTGAATATAATATATAATAAAATGTTGCCATTGGCTTATTAGACCACTGGTAGGGGAATGCACAGATAAATTTTTCTATTAACTAATTTGTTATTATATAATTTTTACACAACCGAAATTCGGCGATAGGGTTTTTGAAGTCAAGCAAAATTTTTTTAAGGAGTATACGCGAATAATCATTTGTAAGAAACATCTGTACTATTCCATAATTTTATTTTAATATTATTTATAATAGTGATTGATTATGATAAGGTAATATCTTACTATAATCCATCAACATTATCAATACTGTTTAAATATAAAAATAATAAAGAATCTTTCTGTAAACAAATCGATAATTGTGATACGATTGAATTATATGAAATGGTTTCCCCATTTCATACAATTGCATGAATGAAAAATGAGAAGAGTCCTGAAATATGTAATATTTTCCGTTGTTGGTATTGGTTATATCGATTTATTTCTGCGTATTTTTTTTTTTTTATTTCATATTGAAATACATTACTGCAAAATGAAGTTTGTTTCAGTAATAAAATTTAAATTCCGTTCTTTCTATTAAGTTCGTTCACAATTTTACAAAAATGCTTGCACATCTTTGTATAATGATAATCCTATTTTCTACGTGAATTTACTGGGTACAAAGGAATAACACCTGAGTCGTCAGGAATGGCAACGCATGGAGGGTATCATGGGTGAAACAGTATACTTTGTTTTGTCCATGGTACTGCTCATGTCTATAGGCAACAGTTACCATTTTCCATCAGATGGGCCGTCAGCTTGTTTGCCATTCTAAGGTGCTAAAACTCAAGGTGGTTTCATTAAAATATTTAGTATAAATATAAATAATTGTAATTTTTTTTTAATAAAAATGAAAAATATTTGAAGTAATAAATGTGGGAAAGGGCTTAATTTCGTCTCCCGATATTGGCGTATCCGTGTTAATAGGTATTTCTTGCATTACAAATAAAAAAAATCAAACATTGTATCAGTTTTACAATGTATTTTTCGAAAATGTATCCAAGTTGTATTGAAATGTATTTCGTGTTTGGTTCTCTTGTTGATTATTTATTTATTTAATTTTTAGCACAATTCATCGAAATAGCTGGAAAAGGATCGAAATTGCTTGTGTATCAAGAGTACACTTATTCAAAAAGTGGGAAGATTGCTGACGGTGGATACCGATACACGTGTTCTGGCCGTTTTAGGAAAAAGTGCAAAGCTTATTTCCATATTTCGAAAAATAACACGATCATTAAAGGATTCACTGAACACAACCATCAACCTTGTAAATTTGCTAAGACACAACAGGGCTACATTAAAATATAAATTGCATTAAATTGGTTTTTATTTAAATAAAAATGAAATATACTTTATAGTTCATCATATTTGAGGATTAAAATTTCTTTTACACCTCTCCATGTTAATATTATAACAATATAATATATGTACTACATATATATTATATTTCAATATACACTATTTAAGTAACAATCTTATATTACCCATATTATTTATACATACACAATAATATAAAATGCCAGACACAATATATATATATATATATATATATATATATATATATATATATATATATATATATATATATATATATATATATATATATATATATATTATTCTCAATTTCGTGTATATTATAGTGTAATATATGTGTAAATATAATTGTTAATTATATATATTTATTAGTTTATATATATAATTTTAGTATGTATGTATATCAATAATTAGTAGTACCGCATTCGATTATTCTGACACGTCCCTATAGTTGACTGGGAGAGAATGCTTTTAGCATTAAGTCCGCCATGTATACATATTTGTACTAATGAATAAATAAATATACATATAAATAATATAAATAACATTTCAAAACACCTCAACAACTTTTATTATCTTTGCGGAGTGCTCGGTTGAAAATTGGTCGTTGCAGTAGGCAAGGTGTCGCGAAACGTTTCAACAAATAATCGCCGGCTCATTCTATCAGTTTCTTGCAGCCCTTGTGGCTACGTGAACGACTGGCTTCACTCTACTTACCAACATCCCGGGTCACCCGCCCAACAATCTGAAACCGCTATGATGGTCTAGAGCAGGGGTTCCCAAATTTATTTTGTCTAGCGGCAGCACTTAGAGAATACATTATTTTTAGCGCCCCCATTTTTTCACCTACTTAAAAACCACTATTACTTCAAATTACAAATCACCCCCCAAGCCTCTATACAACGCCCCCATTTTTTTCTGGGTCTCTTACAGCCCCTCTTTAGGCCTGCAGCGCCCACAAGTGGGCGTTATCGCCCACTTTGGGAAAGGCTGGTCTAGAGATGTTTTTTAACTTTCGCATTGCATACCTATCTAATACGTAAATTACCTAATAACAGTATTACACTATTAAATTGTAAATGATAATTATATACCTATTATCAGTTAATTCCTGAACTTGCAGCTCAATTCATCCAAATAGCTGGGAAAGGATCAAAGTTGCTTATGTATCGAGAGTACACTTATTCAAGAAGAGGGCCAATAGGTAAAGGTGGTTCTCGGTACGCGTGTTCCTGTAAGTTTAGCAAAAATTGCGAAGCCTATCTCCACGTTTCGAAGGAAGATGTAATCATTAAAGCATTCAAGGAGCATAATCATCAATCCACTAAATATGCTAAAACACAAATAGGCTACTATAAAATATAAATTGGTTACATTTAAATATTTGAGATGATGTTATATATTTCTGTATAATAAGTAAAAGAATTTAAATTTGTTTTATATATAACTTTTTTCATAAATATATCTATATATCATTTACACAATCTTTTCCAATTTCAACAAACTATCTTTTCTATGTTTACTATCTTCTACACATCTCTTTATGAATGCCCATCCAATATTGTTTTTTTTTTTCACCTATAGACATGAGCAGTACCATGGACATAACAGAGTATACTGTTTCGCCCATGATACCCCCCATGCGTGGCCATTCCTGAGGACTCAGGTGTTATTCCTCTGTACCCAGTAAATTCACGCCATATCTCACCCTTCAAACCGAAACACAGCCATGCAAACACAACTGCTTCACGGTTGAAACACGAACGGGACAGAGGTACCCAAGCAATCGACGTTTGTACAAAGTCTCCCTCTGGTTTGTTTGTTTTGTCCTATGATGAACATTTAATATTTGATTCTTATTGTATTATTATTTATTGCATTTCCAGCTCAATACATACAAATAGCTGGAAAAGGATCCAAGTTACTTATGTATCAGGAATACACTTATTCAAAAAGAGGGTCGTTAAGTAATGATGGTGCCCGGTACGCATGTTCTTGTCGTTTAAGGAAACACTGCAAGGCCTATCTCCATGTATCGAAAGATAACATAATCTTTAAAGCGTATCTTGAGCACAATCATGAACCTCCTAAATATGCTAAAACACAAATTGGCTACATTAGAATATAATTTTTTTTTTTTTTTTTTTTTTTTTTTTTATTTATTGCTAAAAGTTTAGATAACATTAACATTGGTTACATTAGAATATAATGTATTATTAATAATCATTTAATTATTACAAAGCCACATTGAAGTTCAAATTTTATTGTAAAATTATACATGGATGTCAAATTATAATTACCATATTGTTGGCATATTATATTGCTTATATATTTTTATCATTAAAAATCTATTACTTTTATATATCTTTGTCTTAATAAATAATTGTTATATTACATAAAAGAACCTTCCACGCTATGTTAGATGTTTCCAAAAATCTATCCAATATATATTTATTATGTTCTACACATATGACTGTGTGAATATTCATTAAATTTTGTTAGTCTTTGCCTTTGCTTAGATTGTCGTTATTAAAAATTATAAATTGTGTTCATTTTATTATTATATTTGTTTTACTTTCAGCCCAATTTATCCAAATAGCTGGGAGAGGATCAAAGCTGCTTATGTATCAAGAATACACTTATTCAAAAAGAGGGCCAATAGGTAAAGGCGGTTCCCGTTACACATGTTCCTGTAGCTTTAGCAAAAATTGCAAAGCCCAGTTGCACGTCTCGAAAGATAATATCCTTATAAAAGCATTTACTGTGCACAATCATCAGCCTCCAAAGTATGCTAAAACACAAATGGGCTACATTAAAATATAAATTTCATTAATTTCACTTTTATTTGAATAAAAATGAAGGACACGAGTATTGACAGAAATGTTATCGTAAGAGAATTTAAATTTCCTGTTAATAAATATTTATTGCATTAAAACAAAATTTGTCTACACTCTTACTTTTTTTTTCCAAAAAAAACTGTCCTTTTGTATTTCTATCTTCTATCAATGTTCGTATAGTAATGTGCACTATACGAACATCGACCCTATATTGTCTGTCTTTTCATTAAATTACAATCTTAGTGTAGAAAATTTTGTATTATATGCTCATTATATAATTATTTCTTTAAATTCTAGTCCAATACATTCAAATAGCTGGGAGAGGATCGATGTTGCTTATGTATCAAGAGTACACTTATTCAAAAAAAGGGCTCTTATGTAACGGCGGTACCCGGTACAAGTGTTCTTGTAAGTGTAGCAAAAATTGCAGGGCTTATGTCCACATCTCGAAAGATAATGTAATTATTAAAGCTTTTACTGAGCACAATCATAAACCTCCTAAGTTCGTTAAAACACATTTAGGTTACATTAAAATATAAATTTTATTAAATTGACTTTTATTTGAATAAAATTGATGAATATCATATTTGAGGTAATACATTTTATCGTAATTAAAAGTATAAAACTTCTTTTATCTGAGGTTTTCCCGAGAGACTACAGCATGGGGTTCTTCAAAAGTTGGGGGGGGGGGGGGGTAAAGAGGTTTCTTCGGGGTCGGCAACGTACGCGTACGCGTAATACCTCTGGTATTGTAGGTGTTCATAGGCTACGGTAACCACTTACCATCAGGTGGGCCGTATGCTTGTTTGCCACCTCAGTGATATAAAAAAAAAACATCTCCGTGTTAATAAATATTTATTGCATTAAAAATCCATCCTCACTGTCTTTCATTTATTTCCAACGTTTTATCATTTGTATGTTTTCTATCTTCTACATATTTTTTTTCTTTTTTTTTACACAACTTAGAATGGCAAACAAGCTGACGGGCCACCTGTTGAAAAGTGGTAACCGTCGCCTATAGACATGAGCACCATGGACATAACAGAGTATACTGTTTCGCCCATGATATATCCCCCATGCGTTGCCATTCCTGAGGACTTAGATGTTATTCCTCTGTACCCAGTGAATTCACGTCATAACCCACCCTTCAACCGAAACACAGCCATGCAAACACAACTGCTTTACGGTTGACACAAGAATGGGACAGAGCTACCCAAGCTATCGATTTTTATACAAAGTCTCCCTCTGGTGAATATAGCAAAGTTTTAAACCTTCGCGCTGGATGTTATGTTTGATAAGATACATGAATTAACGCGATTATTTAGGTTAATTTAGATAATTTATCTAATTTAATTAACATGCAAATACATACAAATACTTAAGAATTTTAGTACTACTTAAACCTCTTGGGCTTGTGTGGCAGTTTACATTTCGTTCTCAAATGATTAGTACTGACATTGATATTCTGCTGTTTTAGCAAAGTTGTACAGAAAATATGCTCTTAGTTTCTGATGTTTTTACATAACAGTGATATCGCTTCGCAAGTCGGTAGGTAAAGAATTTACTAATCGCCGTATGAGGTAGGCGCTCGTTCACTCGCCATAGTAGTTTTTTACTCGGGTAATGCTCCGCTCCGTCACTCAAAACTAGCTTGTTTTGAGTGACGGAGCGTGTATATATAGCATGATTTTTTTTTTGTTTCCTGTTTAAGGAATTTTTTTATCAGTGAAAATGGTATGGTAACGTTAAACGCTTGCGGAGCACTAATTAAGGGTAAAAGATTAGAATGAAAACTGGCCAGTTAGCCTATCATGATGAATTCATCAGGAATTAACCATGATAGTTTCCAGGGAGAACCGCGAGGAGGTCGACCTGGTTGGGTATATTGCTAGCAGTGGGATTCTCAGTCTCCATTACTAACAATCCCTTTCGGGGGGGAAAGGGTGTTTAAGGAATTGTTCTTTAAGGCAATATATTACTTTTTCATGAATAGGCAGGGTTCGATAATACTTAAACAATTTGGAGTCAATTGTGAGATTTGATTTTAGGCGGGATAAATTTTAATATTCCGTGTTGTAATTTACATTATTGTATACATAATTGTAAATTAGTTACATTAAGATTGTTGAACATTGTTGGTTTCATGTTTTATATATTCAGTAAATGTGGAAGGACAATATATTTAATTACATATACAATATTATATATTATTCTTTCTTTCTTTATTCTTTATTGTACACAAAAGGTTATTGAAATGTAAAAACAAACATAATAGTGCACAAAGGCGAGCTTATCTCCAATAGAGATTTCTTCCAGCAAACCCAATATGAGAAAACTGACAGTTTATTAGTAGTTACAGTCATACATGTGTACCAATCAACTTAAATGTTATAGTTAAAAATAAATAAATAAAATGTCTTTACAATTGAAAAGACCGATAGGTATAAATAAATAAATAAAAATATATATAAGTAAATACATATAAATAGATAGATTTGTGTATAAATCTTCCACATTATTTAAGCAATAAACAACCTTTTCTATGTTTACTGTCTTCTACACATTTCTTTTTAAAAAGATCCATTTTTATCTTTGTTTTCAATTAGATTTTCTGTGTGCGCATTTATAAGGTTCTGTACCAAAAAGGTGCAAAGGAATCTTTATGGTGCGACTTTGTCCGTCGGTCCTTCCATTCGTCTGTAACAGCGGTATATCTCGATAACTTCTGATGCTATCGATTTTAAATTTGGAATAATTTTACATATCATTGGACCACACGTGTTGCAATGGAAATAAATATCCGTTTTGGACAAAACGAATATTCAAAATTTCAATATTAATTAAAAGTAATACTAGTCTACGTGGGTGTCTGAAAGACCTTCATTTGTATATTTTAAACTAATTATGATCGCAAATGTGAGAAATAGCCATCTCCATCCCCTAATCTCCAAAATTTGTAAAATGAAAAATATGAAATAACTATAGTTTATTGCGGGGGAAAAGGCGATATTTTAACTAGCACTGGTTTTGATAAATTATCAGAAAACCTCCAAAAAAAATTTAGTTATGCAATTCAAATTTTAAGCACAGTTATAGCTCAAAAAATACGAATATAAATTTCAAATTATAGTATCAACAGTATTAGGTGTCTATTTCGTATGAGAAATATAATAAAACTCATTTTATATCTTATTTATTTATTCATTTTTCTTTTTTGTATAGAATATGCTCTCGACATATGAATTGAACTCGCACCTGTCTTTTTTTATTTTGACAGTGTCTTTAGTTGAAGTATTGTAGATTTATTTATTTTTTGCTTTACTTTCAGCCCAGTATATCGAAATAGCTGGCAGAGGATCCAAATTGCTTATGTATCAAGAATACACTTACTCAAAAAGTGGGTCGATACGTAATGGTGGTTCCCGGTACACGTGTTCTTGCAACTTTAGCAAAAACTGCAAGGCCCATATCCACGTGTCAAAAGATAATATAGTCATTAAAGCTTTCACTGAGCATAATCATCTGCCTCCAAAATATGCTAAAACCCAAAAGGGCTACATTAAAATATAAATAAAAATATAATTAAATTGCCTATTATTTGAATTGAAATTAAGAATACCAGAGATGATGATTATCATAAATGAAAAGAGATGTCACGTTGCATTCTAGACTAGCCTTTCCCAAAGTAGGTGATAACGCTTTCTGCAGGTTAGGCCTGCAGCGCCCACAAGAAAGAGCGATAGAGAGCGCCACAAGGGGGGCGGTAAGAGACCTAGAAAAAAAATGGGGGCGTTATGTAGAGGCTTGGGGGTAATTTGTAATTTGAGGTAATAGTGATTTGGGGCAGTAAAAAATAATTTATTCTCAAAGTGGGCAGTAGACAAAATAAGTTTGGGAACCCCTGTTCTAGATGCACGTTACTAAGTGATGGCTAGCAAATCAATTTTCACTTTTTAACATTAATATAATTAATAATATGGAACGATAAATAAAAAGAAAATCGCAAATGGTTCTCAACGGTGTAGATGTTAACCTGCGGATCTCCAGTAATGGCCGATCGGCGCACGAGTCGCGGTGATTCGATTCCGTGATCGCGTCACCAGAACGCTCACGAACTTCGAGCGATGCGCCTGTGTTGCCGTTGACAATTTCAATTTATATATTTAGGCTCTATAAATTGAAATTGTAATGAAATTATTATTTTACTACTATATTTTGCTTATAAGCGTGTAATTGATTCCCGCTGGGGTGAGTTTTCATTTATTTTTTAACATTTGTACCTGTTCTTAAATAAATACAGTTGTTGAGTTGTTTCTAACTAAGTTAGATGAGACTTAGTGCTTATTGGTCCTTGACCCAAGCTTGTACCTACCTAATTACCTAGCTAGTACGCTAATGCTGATCGCCTTAAACCACCAGATGAAAACTTTGTACAAAAGTCGTTTGTTTGGGTACTTTTGTCCTATTCGTATTTCAACCGTGAAGCAGTTATATTTGCATGGCTGTGTTTTAGTTTGAAGGGTGGGATATGGCAGTGAATTTACAGGGTACAGCAGAATTACACCTGAGTCCTCAGGAATGGCAAGGCATGGGGGGTATCATGGGTGAAACAGTATACTCTGCTATGTCCATGGTACTGTTCATGTCTATAGGCGACGATTACTACTTTCTATCAGGTGGGCCGTCAGCTTCTTTGCCATTCTAAGTTGCATAAAAAAATGTGCTTGTGCCTGTTTCATTGCTGTAATGGAGACATCGCTGATTGCCTGCTTAGCTTGCTTGCTACATAGACAAGACCAACTTTGAGTACTATTGCTACCACTACCAATACCTCGTCAGGGCAGTAAATATAATAGTTACCCAAGTCTCGTTGCCGTGTGCTAGAAGGAAAAGGACATTATATTAGTACTAACACCGTTACAGTGGATTCATCAATAAACTACCTACCGCTGCAGAGAGTTGATCCTACAATGCTTTAGAATATATATTTTTTTATTTATTATTGTATGTAGACATTTTATATCAAATCTGTTCCTCATAACTTTGTTTTTTTTCAATCCATCTAATTTTTTTGTGCCTTCGTTTTCCGTTAAATATGTTCAATATCCTACTATTTTCATATATACTATATATATAGAATCAAATAATAGATTTTGTGGTCAATTTTTGCCATTTTGAGACTGTGAGGAATTATTTCGTTACTAGCTATATATTGCTATGACCAAAATTAAATTAGACGGGCGCAGGAAAATACTCTATATAATGTGGTGTTATAAAAAAATGTAAAATTATTTTAGTAAATTATACGGATGAATTACTATTAATACCTATTTTGAGGCCAAACATTTTGTTATGGAACGCTTTAATTTTAAGTTTATTATAAGTTATCGTTTCGTATGTAAGCATTTCGCTTGACTTCCAGCACATTACATTCAAATGGCCGGCAGAGGATCAAAGTTGCTTATGTACCAAGAATACACATACTTCAAAAGCGGCGTCATACGTGATGGTGGTTCACGTTACACATGTTCATGTAATGTCAGTAAAAACTGCAAAGCCCATATCCACGTATCGAAAGATGACATGATTCTCAGAGCGTTTACTGAACACAATCACAAACCTCCCAGATATGCTAAAACACAGAGTGGCTATGTTAGAATATGAAAATTCTACTATTAAAAATAAAAATATACTTTGATGGTATAAGTATTTTTACATGCCGTTTGTCCAACAAAAGTATTGCCTGAATATTTGAAATGTAATGGAAACAAATGTTTGAAGTTTATAACAGTGTCGTTTATTGGTAGCTTAAATAAATAAACATATATATATATATATTATTCAATGTAAATTTTGTGTTCGCTTTTGTACCTGTAACTAACACCCATTTTATTTTCTTTTTTTTTAAATATTTTTTTTTGTTTCCGACAATTCACAATTTCTGTCGGACATTCAAAGGTTGACTTGAAGAAATTTCTTTTACGGGATAAGTCCACTATTGTACTTTTTTTTTCTTAAGAACTCCGTGTCTTATAATTTAACCACTGTACAATAGCGTTAGAAACAAGCACGTGTAATCAACCTGTTATTTTTTTTTTTCATTCAAATTATTGTTGTATAATATATACTCACTTGCTAAATTACTAAATAGATAACACCAAATTTAATAAAAAAGTCGTAATGTAACAAGATTTTATACTAATGCTATGACTTACTGGTAATACTAAACGAAATTTGTTTTATAACTTAGTTCATTATTAACATATAATTACTGATTTAAATACAAAACTGTGGAACCATGCAGATGTTTTATTACAAAATCTTGGTAAGATGGTATTTTGGTATCTATACAAAAATTAAGTATTTTTAGTAATCAACCTTTTAATATGGAATATTACAATTTCCTTGTAATATATGAAAACTAAATAAATAATTGACAAAAAAAAATGTTTTTGAATTATTTCAATTGATATTCAATAATGAAGATTAACTCAACTCTACCTTCAGGAACTTTTATGAGGAATATCAGAGGATCAACAATATTGTTTGTTACTTCACGGTTATACCTATAAGAAGAATTCGTCAATTTGTATGTAAATCGTCAATGTAAAAAAAAATGCAAAGCCTACGTCCACGTCTCAAGAGATAATGTAATTTTTAAAACTGTTTTGACACATAATCACGATCCTCCAAAATACTGGTTCACCAAAGAAAAATATTTTATCCGAACTTAACTATTTATTTTGGTGTAGAAATTTTGTTTTAATATTTAATTTTATTAAACCTATTTTTGAGTAATTTTATATTTATTTTTTATTAACATGCTGTTGAATTTTGTGTGTTGAACTGTTGAATGTTTAAATAAGAAAAGACGTAGGGTGGGCTCACATATATTTATATATACATATATTGATTATTATATAAATAAAACACACATACATAGATAATTTAATTTATATCTACGTGTATACAAAAATAGTAAACAAGGCGGTAGAATCTCGACTGTCCGCGGTGAGAGAAGATGCCCCGCCTACATTCACGTGTCATGGCAGCCATAAAAACCGGTTTTGTAAACATACATCTCCATATGATCACAACGCGGGGTGTCGTTCGATCAATTGAATCTGACATTTTTGTCTGTTATAGAATAAATATATAATAAAGTATAAATTATGTATGTACGCGTATTTGTATTTATATAATTATATAATAATTATGTAGATATAAATATATGTGAGTTGCCTATAAATGTTTGAATTTGAAGAAAAGACGTGGGGTGGGCAGCTACGTCCCTCTTAAAACGTCTCTAAAACCTAACTGTTGTTATCTTCCAAGCCCCAAGCCTCCTCGTTTTTTGTTCAGTGTTGTTATTTACATTTATATTGAAGTGTCTTTATTTCCAGAGTATTATATGAAAACACTAAATGGAAAGATAATCCTTCTAATTTTAGTTTGAGATACGCGTGCGGCAATCGTATGTCACGAAGATGCCGTTTCACGTAACTTAACAATCGAGCTAATAATTTTCCTGAAGATGCCTGCCTCATTTAAAGATGAAACACTTGTCGCAAAATGCTCGGAGACGTAATGACAGTCGGATATTGATTGCTAATATGAAAGATTGTAAAATTTCTGGTTTCTGGTAACAATAATAGTAGTCAATCTTTTGAGTGCTAGCAGTCGCACACATACTAATGGTGGTGCAATTAAACAAAATAATGCTAATTAAATAACCAGTGATTCTACAAATTCTTTCAGAAAGCTACATTATCAGCGAGTAACATCAGCTACATATTAATTAAAAAAAAACCTACGAAAATAACAATATTGTAACCTAAGATATCAAAAATAATAAAGCCTATATAAAATACTATATCTTTCCATCTATCTAAGATTCAAGCATTCAGTTTCAAATAGATTATTTGGAATTATATAATGGCGGTTGTTGTCTAGAAAGATATTTGGAGATAAAAAGATGAGTTTATCAACACACAGTCAATGTATGTATAGTTACAATAAAGGACCACAGTCAATTAAAAAACTCACTTCTTATTTTCTTTCTATCTTTTTCTTCCAAATCCTTGTTTACTATTAGGCTCTGTCTACCACATTATTAATTTACCAGTTATTGCCCAGAACATTAATGTTACGAAGTAGATCTTAAGTAAAACTTAAGTTTTAGTTTTAAGAAATGTTTTTACATTTGGAATTTCAACAAGTTGTATTTGATTTTCAGTAAAATTCATAACATTGCCAAAAGGAAAGAGACTACTTATGGTAGACCGATACACCTTCCATAGAGGTGACGTACTGAAATCTGGCAACATAAGATGGCGATGTTCAGCACTCAACCAACGGTGCAATGCTCACGTAATTCTAAGCAGCGACGAACAAGCTATAATAAAAGCTCAATTGAATCATAGTCTACATAAAATCCTTGAATTCAAAGTAACCAATGATGGCACGTATATTAAAATTTAAAAAATCAAGGCGTGTCAAGATGGGATGACACGTGTTCGACGTTTAGTATTAGTTTTTTTTTTTTTTTTATTAAATATTTTTGTTTTATTCATAGCACATTGATAACTGTCGCTATTACATAAGCAAATGATAACGTTTATTATACAGATGAATTTATATCTCAAGTGTCAATAAACGAGACGATAGGAATGGAAAGGGAATCGCTTTGCGAAGGAGTACAATAGTACTATTATATTATTATTCAATACTCACTTGTGTGGACCAGTCTTTTAGAGATTGGGTATTCATATATAGCTTAGTGATAAGTTTAGATTCAAGGCATAATCCAATGTGTAGCGTGTCATAATGTGCGTGTGTGTGTGTGTGTGTGTGTGTGTGTGTGCTTTTTTCGTGACACATTGTTATTATTTAAAGACTGAATTTGATTGGCTTGATTGTAATAATTTAATAATGATTCAGTGTGAATTTACAGTGACTGATATGTTACAATAATTACGTCTAATTATGTTTAACATTACATTTAAAATAACATTACTAAAATGTACGAGTAGTAACGAAACTGCTAATATGCTGCTAATAATATGAATGACATAGCATATTGACAGATGTCACTACTACATAAGCATATGATGAACGTTTATACAAACACAAATGCGTTTATATGTCAATCGTTAATAAACTAGGCAAATGAAGTCAGTATAGGAGGGACAGGGACAGACTTGTAATGAGTGAAGATGAAATGGTAACCCCACCTGCGCTATTGATACACCCTGGCAGGTCACCTATTAGGATTAAGGCAGGTCAGTTGGCCCATAGTGGCCAATTGAACAAGAACTACTTTGCTTTCCAGGGGGGACCGCGTGAAGGTCGACCTGATAGAGTGTATTACTAGCAATGAGGCTATTAAATCTCATTATTAACAATCCCTTTTCCCCCCAAGGGACAAACTTTGCGAAGTAGTAAATTAGTACTTTTATATTATTCAATACTCATTTGTGTGGACCAGTCTTCCACAGACTGGGTATTTATATCTAGCTTAGAGATAAGATTATTCTTGAGGCATAATCAAATGTCTAGTGTATCGTAATATGTATGTATGTGTATGTGTGTGTGTGTGTGTGTTTTTTTTTTGTGTGTAGTTTAAATACTAATTTGAATATGGATTGTAATAATTTAATTACGCTTCAGTGTGAGTTTACTGCGACTGATATATTGTAATAATTACCTCAAATTAATTTTAACATTGCTTTCAAATAAAAATTATAAAAATTACTTGTGTTTCTGTCGAAAAATAACTGCTTGCGTTACTGTGTTTTGGTTTAAAGGTTGAAATATAGGAGTGAGAATGTAGGGTAATGTAAGAGGTTTAACATCTTAAGTTTAGTTAAGAGAATTAAGTGGGTTGCCATATCATGACTTAATGATTTGCTCATTTTTTTAACTCTGAGGTTGAATGATTCAATGAAAAACCGACTTCAATTGTGACATAACCAGTTATTTTTATTTAAAAACTAAACTTCTGAATTGATTTTGTTAGTTTCTATGGGGATATATATGTATATATCTGTAAGTATATAATTTTAGATAAAAAAGACTGATATCTGACGGAGTTATGAGGTAGCATACAAAAAAACAACTGAATTAAGGAGCTCCTTCTTTTTAAAGTAAGTTGAAAAAGTAGAAAAAATTTGCTAGAAAGGATGAAGTACTAATTATATATTTGACTTACGTTTTCTTGTTAAAAAAATGTGACAAAATTAGACAAATAATTTGAAAAAAATGTTATGAAATTTTTTAATTTGATTAGTTTTTTTTTTTTATACCACAAAGGTGGCGAACAAGTGTACAGCCCGTCTGATAGTAAACGATCACTGTAGCCAATGGACGCCTGCAACGCTGGGGGTGTCATGTGCGCGTTGCCGATCCTGAAGAAGTTTAACATACCCTTTTTTAAAAACCTCATACTGTAGTCTTTAGGGAAAACCTAAGCAAGAAGCTCATTCCGCAGTTTGAACATTTAAACTCAAGCGTGTGAGAATGAATCCCCTGTCGATAGCGAGCAATGCGATGAGAAAAGGAGGTTGCAGGCATAATTTAAAACAGTTACTCAAAATACAATCCGTTATTCAAGCAGTTGAACACACAAAGGGAGACAAAGTCTCGCCTTAGACTTAAGGACTCGATACTGTGAGTATCGTCAAAAATTCTCATAGCTCGTCTTTGAACCGAGTCAAGATGATCAAGCTGGTATCCAGATACCCACAGATGAAAGCAGTACTCCATGAGGGGCCGAATTTATTCATTTATTTATTTATTTTTGCAACTTGTACAACAGAAAACAGTGTTTGTCTCGGGGTGAAGTACCATTTCGCTTTATTGAGCACTCCGACCTTTATGGACGTCAGCTTGACCCTATCTTCTGGATGACCTCGGAACTCTGTAGGACTATGTACGTACCAGCGAAACTAATACTAGAAAAAAATATATCTATACATTTTATTTTTCAAATGTAAGTATAGATTTGAAAAATCTTGCCACCACTTTTTACGGTCCGAAAACCTTAGTTTCTAAATGTTTGTTCGAAACAATCTATACCTACCCATATCATGTACGTATCAAGCGAACAGTCAATTTAATTCAAAACAAAGCCGTTAATTTATTTTGACATTAATAAAATTTGTTAATTTAATATGTAATTATATTTATATAAATATTGACAGTATTAATTAAATATATTAAATTAAAATATATTTAATTAACACTGGTATAAAAGTAACTGAAAATACCGATGTGATTATGATTTGATTAAATTGAAATTACAGTCAAAAAGAAGACACCACGACTAACTTCAGCTGAAAAAGCGCAAAGATATAGAGACAGGTTAAAAAAGAATCCTCAAAAATTCGAAGAATACAGAAGGAAGAATTTAGAAAGAATGAAATTGAAATATAAATATATAAAAATAAGTCAAATGTCAGAAGAAGAAAAAGAAAAGACAAGACGATTATGGAGGGAGCAAAAAAGAAGAAAAAAGAATATTGAGACGCTATAAAAAAACGTTCAATTAATTTGAAATTGTTAATTGAAGTTTCTTTGTCGATCACAGTAATGATGATCACAAAAACTCGTAATTGTGTTAAATTTTTTATTATTATATGTTATAAATGCGAAAGTTTGTAAAGATGGACAGAAGTTTGTTACTCTTTCACAAAAAAATACTGAATGGATTTAAACAAATATTGGCCATCGGATAGGTTATAGCCTAACTTAGTACGTAGGACACTTTATATAATGAGCCACAGGAGCAGAGTCACGAGATACAGCTAAAAGTATCTAAAGATATCAGTTCAGAATATATAGAATGCATTTTTTATCGGATTTAGGAAGGCTGATTATTACGCCTCTGATATATTGGAATTATTCCTTAGTTTTATCGATTCTCTTCAAAAAATGAACTCAGAACTGGAAAAGAAAAGAAATATTTGGTAGATTTTAATTACTGAACTATAGAAAACATGTTTTCTGGTTAAACGACATCAGATAACTAACGTAAAAATATTTATAGTAGTTATTTTAAATTTTACTTGTGTTTATTTCTTAATTAATAACTAAATCAAAACAAAATTGCAACTTCAAAGATTAACTTTGAAAATATTTCCACAATAACACTATTATGGTTTTATGATATTTACGTTTACCAGAGGGAGACTTTGTACAAAAGTAAATTGCTTGGATACCTCTGTCCCATTCGTGTTTCAACCGTGAAGCAGTTGTGTTTGCATGGCTGTGTTTCGGTTTGAAGGGTGGGATATAGCGTGAATTTACAGGGTACAGAGGAATAACACCTGAGTTCTCACGAATGGCAACGCATGGGGGGAATCATGGGCGAAACAGTATACTCTGTTATGTCCATGGTACTGCTCATGTCTATAGGCGACGGTTACCACTTTCCATCAGGTGGACCGTCAGCTTGTTTGCCATTCTAAGATGTATAAAAAAAAAATTACCAAGAGTCGGCAAATAACAATAAACTGTTTGCGATTGTACTGAAGATAAGTATTTTGCGGTGTTATACAAACAATGAAACCTAAATGATCTCTTTAAAATGTATTGTTTGTAACTTCAACAAAATGCAAATGGCCAATTACTTTTGGGCGGAAGTGTATAAATAAAATGTCATCATAATGTTGTTCCTAATAGAATATGACGCTTATATACCTGTTATTTAATTAAAACATTTACTTTGAACATTATATACTCCCGAATTGATATTAACGTTAAATTTTATTATGTTAAAACATATAACATTTGAATAAGGAAGTACAATACTTATTACTACTAAAGCGAATTTCAAATACCGAAGATCGATATAAACTCATAAACGACACAAATATACAAACGACTATAATTCTAGATAAGGTAGACAGAGTCGATTGTGACCATGTTGGTGAAAATAGCATTTGATATCTTCTCATTTTGCTGAACATGCTGCCTTTAAAACACAATGTGAAAGGATGATGAATTTACCGCCATCTGTTGGTAGGCGAATTATTTTGGTTTATTACATTAAACAGAAGCTTGACTGAAGTTTGTAATTTAAATTGAAACACAAAATATTGGATGACTATAATCCCATGCAAAGTAAGTTGTATGTTATCGTTGTAGAATGTAACTCATAACTTTTCTGGATTTCGTTAGCATATTCGGGTACTGTAATTTTAATGACTGATTCCAAAAAAAGTTGCAATATCTATGAGTAATATGGGTTACATTTTATTTTGATTTTCACGTTGATGAAACGTCGGAGCTCAGTCAATGGTAACTATCTCATCATCATCAATCATCTGCCTGCTATGATTATTGGAAATATTTTTTATAAGACTATATTATTTTCAGATATTAATTTCATTGAATCAAGAACTGGCACGAGATTGCTTATGCTTAACGGGTATACTTTCCACAAGGTTTTAGAAAACAAGTTCTCTCAAAGGGAAAGGTGGAGGTGTTCCAGTAAAAAGAAGGGTTGTAACGCATTCATTGTGTTATCCAGTTACGATGACAGCATGGTCAGATGTTCAGAAGATCACAATCATTACCCACCAGCGTATATATGTAAGGATGGCTCGTATATTAAAGTGTAAACTGGAACGTGAAATATTATTAATACTCTAAAAATCTTAAAATTACACCATTATCTATCGTCTACTGTTTTTTTATACCACAGGAGGTAAATGAGCATGCAGCTTATCTGATGGTAAGTGACTACCACCGGTCGTGATTAGGCTATTTAAAAAAGAATGTGTTTTTTTTTTTAAAGTTGCCATGTCATGTCTGTTTGGAAATACTGCTGCTGAAAGTTGATTCCAAAGTTGATGCCAAACATAATCATGGGCTTTCCATTTTTGTCATCAAGAACCGATCCAGTCCAGGTATTGACTATTATTAGTATGGATATAAATTAACAATCTTCTTCTGTAGAACTATTTCACATTAACTAAATTATTGCGTACATGAAGTACTTAATTATTGTATACCCTGTGTTTTAAGTAATAATTTAATACCAAGTATTAGCTAGTAATCAGTTTAAAGAAAATATTATATTGTTCTTTGCACACAATGATTTTGTCTAATTGACCAAATATCATTTCAGTAAAATTAATTACATTGAATGATGGTAGAATACTTCTAATGGTCGAAGGTTATACTTTTCATAAAAACACCGCACTTTTGCGACACGGGGAGACGAGGTGGTTTTGCTCGTCGCGCAAGAAAAAATGTCCAGTATACCATATTGTAAATGCAAACTGCACCACCATTTTGAGATCTCACGGTGCACACAACCATATGCCGCCTACTTACCTTGTCAGAAATGGTTATTATGTTAAAATGTAGCTGACAATAAAATAAATATATACAAACATTGTCACTTACTACTATTATTATTTATGTCAAGAACGCCCTCTCGTGCCAAGAGTTTTTTACCATCTAACATATCTTTTTGGACAGCAGATTTATTTACTTCGTAACGCTCGCCGTAAAAATAGCATTTGACGTTGTCATTAGAAATTATAACAGCCCTCCTAGACAAAGTATAAATTAATCTATTGATAGAATTGTTATCGCTAGCGATTCTATGAGATAGAATGAGATGGAAGCATGTGCTCTCTTGCTTTTTCGTGTAAACGAATCTATTGACTTTTAGCAATATCGATAGATTCGTTTGCACCTTATGTATTATACCTATATATGTTAGCTTTTAACTTTCCACTGCTGAACATAGGCCTACCCCTGTTGGGGAAGGGGGGGGGGGGGGGGGGTTGCACTTGTTTTGGCATGGAGTAAACTTTGTCTAGAGGGATTGGAAGTGTTTTTTTTTAATGGATGAAAATGGTATGGTAACCCCGCCTGCGCTAACGGGATACACTGGCGGAGCACCGGTGAAGGATGATAGATGAGAATGAAAACAGGCCAGTTAGCCCATCATGATGAATTAAGGAATTATCTACGATAGTTTCCAGGGAGAACCGCGAGGAGGTCGACCTGGTTGGGTATATTGCTAGTAATGGGATTCTCAGTCTCCATTACTAACAATCCCTTTCCCCCCGGATTGGAAGTGTTATAACTATTCAAATTGTATAATAAAAATTAAAAATATGAAAGGTTAGTCACGTAATGAACTTTTAGATTCATCTGCAGATTGTGATAATATAATATACATATTGGTAAAGAAGAATAACCCTAAAGAGTACCAGTGATTATGGAAGTACTCATTTTTTTTTTAATAATATAATCAACAGCATGGTTAGAGATTAGGAATGGTAATATATAGCAATACTTATATATTACCATAATGTAACAATATCTATGTATAATGGTCCATCAACTCATATATTAAAAATCGGTTATCCAATATACATAGATATTCGACCGGTATGGGTGATATCGAAATGGATGATAGTCTTTTTTCCTTCATCAACGTCTAGACGAACCCAATATATAGATATTGGGGAGATACTGCTATTACTTAGTAGAGATTATATTTACTTCAAGCTAGCCGTTTTAATGACATCTTCATTTCTCAGGTATCATTGTAAACAGACCAAAAGGTCACGGGCTTATCTATAACGGATATATGTTCTACCGACATTTTCCGATACGAAACGGGTATAGATGGAGATGTTCGAAATTCCACGCGGCGCAACCTTGCAAAGCGTACATACATGTGAACAATTTGAACATTGTTTATAAGGATATGGCGTACCACACACATCCGCTCCCTAAGTTCAAAGTCACATCGGGTGGATTTTATATCCCAATTTAATTTTGTATTGTATACAGTACTATCATATGAAAACTTCAGATCCATAACTTTTTATTATAAAACATTTGTAATTAGTGTGCAATAGTTGTATTATATAGTTTTTAAATGTAAAATAAATCGAAATGAAAGTATGAAGTTTTTAAAAAGCTTTAAAATGTATATTGTAAGTATTATTTGCTTTCCTATGTTCTCAATAAAAATTTACAAATTAAATATATGTATGTTTTTTAAATACTCTTCGCCTAATATTGTTATGGTGAATGTTTAACATCCCCGATATAATGGTAAGTATTCAAAGATGTTTTATGAACTTTATAAAACTAAGAAATAGGTAATATACTGCTTTGACATTCTAACTAGATTCACTTTCATATTGGTTACTGTTTAGACAAACAGACTGAAAAATTCAGGCTTATAATATTAGTATGGATGGATACTATTCTTGTGAGTAACAATTTTCAAACAAAGCTAAATAACATTAATTATTTTATTACTTGTAATTTTATTTTGTTGAATTTTTTTTTATACATGTATGTTTAAAATTTGTTCACTTTCATATTTTCTTTTTACGATAGTTTAAAGTTCTTTATATCCACTAATGTAATATTTGATTTGTAAAAAGCAATATAAAAAGATATAAAAAATAAATATTTTTATTATAATTTACAATAACTAAACTTTCGAAAAAGATATTTTCTTTTATGACATACATTTTTTAAAAGTGTGTATTTTTACACACGATACCAAATAGTAGTACGTTTAAAAATATAAAAAAGAATATGACCTAATAAATAAAAGCAAAGAAAAAGTTACTGATCGATAAAATACAACTAAATATTGAGTAATTAATCATATTCCAAATTCAAATTTGTTTATAACAATAAAAAAAAACTACAGTTTGTACCACAGATTAACACCAGACTCGTGCAAACTTCGGGTTCTCACAACAAATGTCTAAATTGATTTTTAACTTATAGATAATTTTTAACTCAATATCGTTGTCGTGTTTCTTTCTTCTTTCCATGTCCTTCTGCAAGCAAAATAGTAACCCTCTTATTCAGAAAAATGACAATCTCTCATAATTCTATTTTGGCTATTGAACTGTTTTGTCTCTTTCCTTTTATGCTACATTCTCAATTTGAAAAAAAGTGACAAAACAGTTTTGAAGCAGATTTTAGTTTTTATAAATAAGGGGGTTCGTCTCCCATACTAACTTAATGTAATGTAACATGCCACAATGTGCCAGTTAGTATGGAAGACAATTTTTTTTTTTTAGTTTTAAAATTATGTTATTTTAGTAAAAATATCCAGTTTCATTGGTGGAGTGATAGGTTTCCTTTGAAAGGTTTGTCCCTTAAAGGTGTGGCCCCTCAAAGGATGCCTATGGTTTCGATTTCATCCCTTATACTACTTGGTTTTATAATTTTGTAATACCTCGTTCCAGTTAAACTGATAACTATACACAAAACCGGCAAACAATACCTCATGATGGACGGCTACACTTTTTACCGGCACATCTTCGTGAAATCAGGAGCCAGGTGGAGTTGCACCCATTCATCAAAGTGCCATGCTCATTTAATTGTATCGGAATCTGGTGCAGTGCTGAAGATTTCCGGTCAACATATTCATGTTCGACCTAAGTATCATGTATTGGCTGATGGAAAATATATCAAATTATAATGGATTCACTTAAAATTCAGAGGAATAACACCCGAATTACCAGGAATGGCAACGCATGGGGGGTATCATGGGCGAAACAGTATACTCTGTTATGTCCATGGTACTATTCATGTCTATAGGCGACGGTTACCACTTTCCATCAGATGGGTTGTCAGCTAGTTTGCTATTCTAAGTTGCATAAAAAAACATAAGAAAGGTGGCCGGGCGTAAAACTAAAAGTAAAAATTCCTCGACTATTAAGTTTCCTTAATAGTCAAGGACACCCACGGAAAAGGAAGGGGTGGCTCATTTTTTACCGGGACCACACGACAACTCTCATATTGATTTTTGTTAAATATCTCCCATGTAAAAATATTGTCTACTTATAATTTGATTATATTAGTAAGACTATTATGTGTGAGAAATATAGCTTAATTACAATATAATTCCACTTGTAAATACGGGAATAGTTGTTATACCTAGTTCATTTTATTGCAGGCCATGTCGCTTGTATTTATTTTGTTCATTTTCTTTTCTTTTTGTTATTTATCACAGGGAGTTCCCCCTCATACTCTACAACCTAGAACCTAGTCGCGTACAACTCGGTTTCAGAAATGTTTTCTCCCACGAACACTCAGGTTATGGGGATTTTCAAAAGGGGGATAAAGAGGTTTCATCAGGGTTGGCAATGCGCGATATTGCAGGCGTTCATAGGCTAAGGTAACCGTTTACCATCTAGTGGGCCGTATGCTTTTGTCACCTCAGTGGTATTAAAAAAAAATATTGTTTAAACATTTGTTTTAGTCCTATGATGTCAACAATTTATAGGCCACCTTAATGATATATAAATAACGGTGAATAAAACAAATGTCAATAATTTTTACAAGAGTCCAACAATAATTGAAAAGTTTTTTAAGGTTCCGTACCAATAAGATGGTTAACCTTTGTATGGTGCGACTATATCCGTCTGTCACAGCGTTATACCTCAGCAACTACTAATGCTATTAACTTGAAATTTTGATTAGTTTTGCATATTATTAACCCATATATATTACAATGGAAATATTTTTTTTTATTTTCTATGTTGGGGGGTCTAAACTAGATACCGAATCCGTTGATCCTTTAGTCTAAATGGATTATCAATCACATGAAAGGGTTACATCTGTACATTTTAAAATTGATTTTCATATATTTTTATGTTGTATAGTTTTTTAGTCACAGTCGAAAATGTGAGAAAAATATCCCTCTCTCCATATCTCCGAGGTTTCTAAAGCGAATACACTGAAATAATTACAGTTTATGATTATATATATGTATAATACAGGAAAAAAAATAGTGTTTCTAAATAGCACTGTTTTTGAGAAATTATCAAAAATCTCCAAAAACAAAATATGAAATTATAAACTGTAATATCAATAGTAATAACTACTAGATATCTATTTCGTATAAGAAATGCAATGCAGGTTTTTTTATATGTATATTTATGTACAGAACCCTGCATGTGAGTTCAACTCGAACCTGACCGGTTTTTTGTGGTATAATTTTAAATTATATATTACGATGTCTATGATCAATAAATGATTTATTTTGTGCATAATAACAATGGTTTCAATTATTACTATACTAAATATTTTAGATACCAGTTATGAATCAAAATCACTGTTTATTTCTCTGTCTTATGTATAGCAAAAGCTTTCTCTTTCTTTTTCTTTTCCTTTCTTTTATTCTTTGGTAACTCTGATTGCGTTAAGTTAAATTTATCGTTGGAATGTTAACTTAGAATAAATTGTTTATTTTTTTAATGTCTATATCTCTTTTCAATATGGATCGTGATAAATAATTATGTTCCTATCTTATCCCATATAATTTGGCTTTCTGTTTTTATCTTGTACCTATCTCTTATTGCTGTAATCTCAGTTTTTCCCGCTTATTCTGGTCCTATACTTCGCATAGACTATCTATTCTCCTTTTAGCTCTTTCTTTATTCTTTAAATCATCCATATCTATACTTCATCATCATCACCCCATTACCTGTTCACTGCTGAACATAAGCCTACCTTTTATAAGAGGGCTTTTCAGTAGTTGTGATTCTTGGTAGGTGGCTTGGCAACCGCAGTTAGACTGTGGTGATATTTTATCACCAAGTAATCTGTCTATGTTACGATGTAGGCTAAGAGAACCGTTTGTCAGACGTCTTTATCATTTATATTTATTAAGCATATTTTACATCATCTAAATTCGTGTCTTGTATATTTATTTATTATTTATTGCACAATAAATTTTTTACAAAAAGCGATTTTAATGCCGAATGACATTCTCTACGCTAACCATTACTAGCTATTAGGTAAAAAAACATGAAGCGTTTGAAAATGTCTGCAAAAGTATTAATAAATAAATTAATACAGTGATAAATATATTGTGATTAAGTTGTACGTAAATTGTACATGTTAACATCTAACGTAATAACGTAATATCTAATAACGCTTTATATTTTAGCTCCCCAAATTATCACCATGTTCAACGGAAAGAAATGTCTCGTGTATGACGGATACACATTCTTCTTCCGCTATAAAGTGAAGATCGGAGACAAATGGGTCTGCACAAACTTCCCCAGGTGCAAGGCTCAAATTATTTTGGACGAATCCTTAAATATACTGCACTGTATGGTCTACCATAATCATGAATCGAAACAGCTGCATATGTGCTCGGATGGCAAGTACATTAAGAAATGAGTCCGGGTTTCTAATAAACAATGTAATTAATGAAGGAAGGAGGAAAGTATTTTTATTGGTTGTAAATTTTTAAGGAGATATATCTAGTGGATATTTTGTGTATGTAAGTTCTTGTTGCTGTATTGTAAGTCTATTTTGATTATTTATGTTGAAAAAGTTTACTTAATTTTAATTATTGAGGGCTTTGTTTACATATATGTGTGTGTGTGTATATATATATATATATATATATATATATATATATATATATATATATATATATATATATATATATATATATATATATATATATATATATATATATATATATATATATATATATATCAGCCATTAAGTGTCCATTGCTGAACATAGGCCATTACATATATAGGTAAATTATAATATACACTGTGTACAAATTTTATAAGAGTTTCATTTATCAACGTTATTCATGTTACAACTGCTTACTACATTCGTACTTTTATATTTTTATGGGATTTAAAACAACTATTAAGTTGTTTTTGTTATTTTTCAGTATATTTTTTAAATTACCACTGGTATATTGTTGCGTAAATAAGGGAATTCCTGCTTGCATATGTATTTTCTAATGCAGTAAAATGACAATTCTTTTGTGCTGGTAACTATCAGTATTTATTTTTAACCGCTTTACTGAATTTTTAAATTCGGTGATGCCTGACAAGTTTTAAACTCGATAGGATCCCATGTTCATGAGCGCGGTTCATGGCTCATAAAATTAAAAAATCGTATATTGTAAATAAAATAATAACAATAGAGTACTTATGAGTTGCGACACTTCTCTCTCTTCGTCCTCTTCATTACTGAAGGTCGTGTCCTTGAAAGATGTCTGTTGCCTCTCTTATGATGTTATTCCATTTTACACGGTCTTCAGCTTCTCGCAGGGCAGCTGCAATCGACAGTCCCGTAACGGCGGTTACTTGGTCCGACCATCGATTAGGCGATCGTCCGCGTGAGATTTTTCCCTCTATCTTGCCTACAACCATTAGTTTATCCAGATTGTCGGACTGTCGTCGAGCAATATGACCGACACTTTACTGCGACACTTTATTGCGACACTTATTATTCAACAATTTCTACTGATAATTGTTCTTATATAATTAACGGCTTAACCATATCTTGGAGCTTTACAAGTGCAAAGCTTCAAGATATGGTTAAGCCACTAAGTAGCGGTGTTTATTCATGATGCCCATTAATCTTGCCTCTCATAATGTCACGGCCAAGTTTCCATTCAACGAGACGCTCGTAACTAAATTGTTGTTCTGGTTTTTAGCTTTACTCTTGTATTAATTTACTTTTAATTCAGTTTATTACACTCGCTAACAGAAAGACACATATTGTTTACGAAGTCTACACATTCTTCAAACATTATCACAACAAGATCAACACCAGATGGAGTTGCACAGCGTACCCGAGGTGCAAATCTCAAATGTACTTAAACAATAAACAGAAGATCGTCAAAGTGAATATTCTCCACAATCATCCAAAAAAACACTTACATCTTACCGATACAGGATATGTTAAAAAAAAACCATTAGACACATAGCTGCAGTTTTGTACCTTTAAAAAATATTTTGCATGTAAATGAAATACGAGTATGTAGATAATAATTAAGTCACGTGTGTGACAGATCGATGTTTACGACGTTAATCAGACCTCTTGAAAAAATAGACATTTAAAAAAAATATTTATTAAAACATAATGTGCCTTAAGAAAAGTATAGGAAAGGTGGAATAAGTTCTAAAATTAAAAAATAAAAATTATAAGATAATATGGTCAGATAGGACAAGAATATAATGATGATTGCAAATGACGATGAGTGGAAGATAAAAATTTCGCTATCTTGTCTTTTATTTGCGTATGGAGTCAACTAAGCCATTACACGTCGACCCATTGAAATATTTTATGCTGTTCCCTGCCTTTTTTATAAATTCTATGTATTACCATTGCGATATTCCGCGGTTTAAGATGTCTATAATCTCCTGGCTCTAGATAAGCCAATCACAGTAGACTAATACGCGTACTTACCAACGAATCACAGTTGCAAATCAGGTGTTCCATGGATTCTGATTCCTAACTGCACAATATGCACAGTGTATCTGAAGATAGACCCATCTTATAAAATAGTATGTGGCGTAGTTTTCCAAACGCTGCCCAGCCAAGTTGGATTCATCGATTAACCTCTCGGTCGAAGTTGAACTTACTGAATCTGATAAGTTGTCCCAGGTATGCATACTTGTCGACAACTTCGAGCGTAGTGTTGAACTCAACCATAACCGGTATAGGTGTATGTACCTTAGACATGATTTTAATCTTGTCGATATCTATTTTAAAACTTACCTGTTGAGATGCATTGTTGAGGTCATTGAAAATGGTATTCAAGACTTACAGGGATATTATAATATTTACTACATCATTGGAAAATCGAAAGCAAGCGATTTATTCACCATTAACGTTTATACCATATTTTTTCTAGTCCAGAAATTTTAAAAAATATTTTCCAAAACAGCTGTGTAGTTTCGAGGATATGACGTCACTCTTACTCCGACTACATTCTTACTCTGTCACAATTTACAGCTTTATTTTACAATCAAAATATTTGCTTTCAGGCGTAATGATACAAATGTCAAATGGCAAATCGCAACTTCTGTTCAAGAGGTATACATTCTTCAAACACTACCGCAGAAAGAACTTTAGTGTACGGTGGAGTTGTACGAGATTTCCCAAATGCAAAGCCTATATTTTCGCCGACGAAGACTTGTTCGTGATCAGTTATGTTAATGAACATAACCACAGTTGTGATCCTCTCCGTCAAATTTCCGACGGCACGTACATGAAAATTTATTAGTATTTAGTCATTGTAATACGCGCCTTCTTTCTTGTCTTAAGGAAAAGTTTAATTTTTGTATAAAATATATGATTGTGTACAATTTTCATAAGAAAGAATGTCAATGATTTATTATTACTGTATTCCTAAGTCTGTCTGTTATTCTTTCATTCTTTTATTTAGTGCCCACCAGTTTTTTTTTTTTTATGTTTTAGTTCCTAATTGTTTCTGTTGGGGAGTAAGGGATTGTTAGTAATTCGGTCTAACAGGCCCATTACTAGCAATGTAGAGTACATTGCTAGTAATGGGCCTGGCTCTATAGGTCAACTTCCACGCTGTTCCCCCTGGAAACTGTCGTAGTTAATTTACAACTGACTTCAAGAAAAAGGAGATTAACTTCCTCGTCAGATTTAGACTTCCTTGTTAGACTGTAGTTTTCTTTTTTTTATGTTTGTTGCCTCATAACTCTTCTCAACCGATTTGGAATTTGCTTTTTTTATCTGAAATTATATACTTGCAGCTTAGTTCTATAAAAAATTATCAAAATCGGTTTAGTATTTTAGTTTTTAGATCAAAATAACTGGTTTTCTCACAATTGAAGACAGTGTTTCTTTTTTTGTGGGATACAATCTTTTACTCTCTGTTTTATACACAAAGTATTATTTTATTTTTAATTTATCTATTAAAGTTTTACTAGTATTTAATATTTCGTTTGTTCATTATTTGGAGTTTGCGTGTCTTTGCTATAGCAGAATTGGATGCAACAATTATTTTTTCTAATATGACATTTGTAAAATGTACCATGTGCAAACAAATAAAATAATTCAAATTCTATTTGTGTTTAAGTTTAAAATTGATATTTTTATATATTTGGTCTTATCTGCTGAATAATGATTCTAATTTTTATCGAATATAAGTAAAATCAAAACAAATGATATTATACAAGAGGGAGACTTTGTACAAAAGTCGTTTACATGGGTACCTCTGTTCAATTCGTGTTGGTAACGTGAAGCGGTTGTGTTTCAGTTTGAATGGTGGGATATGACAGTGAATTTACAGCGTACAGAGGCATAACATCTTAGTCCTTAGGAATGGCAAGACTTGGGGGATGTCGTGCGCGAAACGGTATACTTTGTTATGTCCATGGTATTGTTCATGTCTATAGGCGACAGTTAACACTTTCCATCAGATGGGCTTTCAGCTTATTTGCTATTTTAAATTGCATAAAGAAAATTATCGTATTGAAATATTGAATATGAATTTCAGGGCTGCTATGCCAAAAATGATACAGACTAGTGGTTAAAATTTGTAACACTTCTCTTTTTTATTCACAGCTGAAATAATTTATACGATAAATGACAAAGAAGTTCTTAAATATCGAGGACATTACTACACTCGGGTTCCGGGATCGTCGACAAATCGATGGCGTTGCATAAACACTTCAATTTGTTACGTAACTCTCTGTTTTAACAACAATTTTGAGCTGAAAAAGGAGCCTAAAGAACATAATCATCCATCAAAGGAGTTCTTAAAACTATACGACGGGAAATATGATTCAGTTAGGTGCTACAAAAGGCGTCAATAATATAAAAAATATAACTTCAAAAATGCTAACATGGTGGAACAACTTGGATTTGGTTTTAGCATCCGAAATACAAATTCACAAATAAACAATAATACCAAGTGTCCGGTTGAACCTGTTATAGACTTTTTTGATTCTGTGTAATTTAACAGCCAAATTTTGAAGATTAAATCCTACACATTTTTATCCTAAATCATATATCACATAAATCATGACAACTATTTGAAATAAATTTATAGTACATACGAGGACTTATGTTGAACTTTAAAATATTATAATCATAGTAGTTTACTATGTAATAAACCTGAACCTGTGTCTGAAATCTGAAGAAATGTTGTTATGCCTAAACTTTAAAGACCTTTTGATATTTATTTGTCATACCATGAGATTATACTTGCTGTATGTTAGCTGTATTTTCATATTGAAAGAATGATACTCTAGTTGCAGTTTCAAGGTAAAATTAAGACGGTATAACAGAATTGAGAGAATGTTCTAGAACTCGGAACACCATTAAATTATTATTTCTTTAAATTTGGTTTCAATTTTTTTAACTGTAACGACCTGGCTGTAAATGTTCAGAACATAGTACATGGCAATGAAAATATATCTTTTACGTTTTATTGTCGTATGATTTTAAAAGCTGATTTTCCCATATTGGTTTCTGCACTTACCTAACCATTTATACCGTCAATTTTTAGTTCGTTCATTAACTGTGTATTAACTCTATGTATGTGACGTATATATTTAAAGACAAGTCAGTGAGAAACCAGTGATGTCATATGAACTGGTTTTACCTACGCTTGTACGCGTTCCTTACTAACCCTTAGATTTCATTCATATAATGACCTCATATTTGAACGGCATAACTGACCTACCTTTTATCAGTTTAAACCTACATTGATCTGTTGAACAGATCAATGGTATACCGATAGCCCAGTGGAGGTAACCATTCCTTTTTCATGTCATAAACAGAGTAGGGCTTATTTTCTATTTGTACTTGTTTTAAGAACTATCCTTATCGGTTATCGGTTTTTGAATGTGCATGAAATGCTTATTAATCTGCTGTTTCTTTGGATTGTATGCATAATTTTGGTTATTGTGTGACTGTTCTTGATTTTACTTTTCACATAGTGAAACTCTAACCATAAACGATTTAAGCTTGCTAAGATACTCAAAACTTCGAATCCGATGGTAAAAAAAATAAAGTACTTTACTGGAATTCCCTACTACTTTTTGAGTAACGGCCCACGTGATTGAAAGTAGTAATCGTTGCCTATAAATATGAAAAGGACCATGGATATAAAAGAATATAATATGTCGCCTACAATATTCTGCATGTGTTGCCATTCCTTAGGACTAAGGTCTGTACGCTGTAATTTTATTACAATATTGCTATATCTCACCCTTCAAGCAGAAACACAGCCATGCAAACAATTGCATCACGGCAGAAACATGAACAGGACACTTATTATTTAGATACAATCAAATAAAGATCATTTAAGTCTATAAACATAACCATAGACAATTTTGTTTCAGCGGAAATGATAACAACGGTGCAAGGCAGACAGTTTTTAAAATATAAAAATTATTTTTATGGTAAGACTCCTTACCTGAAGAGAAGGTGGCGGTGCGTGAACACAAGACGTTGTTACGCGTCTATGTCGGTTTCGGAAGACCTAACTATTATCAAAGAGCCATCGCCTCACAACCATACTACCAAACAGTTTATTATATTGCCTGATGGTAGATACCAATTCATTACGCAAGTTACAAATTAATTTTATTTGTTATACAACAATATCCTAGCTTTAGTTTTGTAGTACTAACACAGAATGGTGAGTACGTAAACAATTTTGTTTAAAAAAGTAATACATATATCTATATGTAAAGAAAGTAGATTATTTTTATGAAGTCAGATTCTGGGGCTTATAAAATACACACTATTTTGCTAAACTAGGTGTTATCTTGCAGAAAATCATATCAATGTTTATTTGATTAGAATTATTTTGTTTAATTCCGCTACCATGTTGGTAGCGGAATTAAACAAACTAACTACTTATTTAGCTACTTGATAGCGGAATTAAACAAAATAATTCTAACCAAATAACCATACCCATTATTATTAGTCACGTGTCTCGAATGTAGAAATAATGGCAATGGACTGTGTATATGAGTAAAACGTCTATTTATCTTCGTCTAACAGACACGACTATACTTTGTCTTGTTTACATTACCAATTAGATGGCAACGCATTAGATGTATACTAAACGGAGAGTAAACTCTATGACGTTCTTAATACTGTTTATATCTTTAGGCGATGGTTACCGCTTTTCATCATATTGACCGTCCTTTTGCTTACCAAGCCTTAACAAAACGCTCTTTTTTTCAGATTTTTTGTTTTAATTATTAGCAAGTTTTTTTTTCTAGAAATCTATTAACAATAAAACTAATGATAACAAAGTATGTTTTAGTTTAATTTCCTCTTATATATATATATATCTTTTGTGACAATAAATAGTTTTAGAATCTCGCGTAAATAAACCAACTGTTACTACTCTTCTGAAGTAGTTTTATGTATTTATTAACTTATCTAATTAAATTTTTTAAAAATTGATCTTTATAAAAGGCATTTATTTCAGTGTATCCTTCTCTCGCGCCGGTGTATTGTACTCTTTTCTTTAGTCTGATCATTGATATTTTTTTTACAGTGAAAGCAATAACAATGCTGGAGGGCAGACGGTTGCTGTTGTATAAAGGATATCTCTACAGTAAGACAGCAAATTTGAAAACACGCTGGCGGTGCATAAATACGAATAATTGTTACGCGGGTATTTGTGTTAAAGAAGAGGACGAAACAATTCTTATCAAGGAGTCACCGACGCCCCACAACCATTCGCCCCGAAAGATTCGAAGAATGTCAAATGGCAGGTACACGTTCGCGAAAAGAAGCTCCAGTCCTGTCTCGATTTATACAAGATATATTACACTAATGCATAGATGAATTGTATTAGACTAATTTTTTTTTAGTATTCTGTCTACGAGTACATAAACCGTAAGCTTAGATTATACAGATAGAGTGTGACAAATGAAAAACAAACGGACCCATGTTTAAAGTGGACACAGATATCCTCTGATATCGATTTTGAAGGCAACCATATATTTTATACCAGAGGGAGACTTTGTACAAAAGCCGTTTGCTTGGGTACCTCTGTTCTATTCGTGTTTCAACCGTGAATCAGTTGTGTTTGCATGGCTGTGTTTCAGTTTGAAGGGTGGAATATGGAATTTACAGGGTCCAGAGGAATAATACACCTGAGTTTTTAGGAATGGCAACGCATGTGGCGTATCGTGGGCGAAACAGTATACTTTGTTATGACCATAGTGAGGTGGGCCGTCAGCTTGTTTGCCATTCTAAGTTGTATAAAAAAGGCAATCGGTCGTTAAAATTGCGGCCATTTTGATTAACACTGATATCGGAACTATATTTGAAGTGTATAGGGAATGATCTGTTATCAATTTTGAACGCATTCGGTCAAATATCAAAGAAAATAAAAGTGGTGGCCATTTTTGTTAATTATGACACCGAATCTATATTAAATATATAGGTATCATCCCATATCGATTTTGAATGCAAGCGATCAAATAATAAATAACGTAAAAATGGCGGCCATTTTTATTAATTATGTCACCGGTATCGTATTTAACACTAAATCTACCAAACGCGGTGAAATACCATTTATGAAATTTAATTTAAAAATTTTCATGTTAATATAATATAAAATAAATTTTCACTTACTATACTTACTAAAGGTTTTAAGCATAAAAACAAATGTTTTTATGCTTAAAACATTTTTACCGGTTATAAGTGATTCCTTTATTATGCTTAAATGCTTTTTAACGGTTATAAATGATTCCTTTATTAGTTATATATTTGTCTTATAATTTTGTACATCATATCACTCATGTACCTTTTTAATGGGCAAGAATTTCTTTATTAAAACATTAAATTTAGATACGTCAAGTGTATACTAATAAAAAAACGAGCATACTAATTTGACAATTAGCTGAAAGAAAAAATTATAAAGTTGATCTGTTTTTAAGATTCGAGGCTCTATCTATATAATCTAACGGGCTTAGAACGCTAATGTTAAGGAAATGCTTGATAAATGCTGTGTATAGTATAGCGCTCATTTATTTTCTAGAATTTGTGATTAATAAATCATTATATTCTTAGCATTCTGTTTATTGTCCGTTATTAACTATGATAAATCGGATATTTATATACCAATCTCTACTAATATTATAAAAAGGAAAATAAATAATATTTGTATGTTTGTTTGTTCACAATGGATAAATTCAAAAATTACACAACTGACTTTAAAAATTTACCATCACTTTCACCTATAGAAAGCTACATTATCAGCAAGTAACATAGGTTAAAACTTATGTTCTTTTAAAAACAAACATAGTGTGTTTATAAAATTCTCGTTGTGCATGTATGTAGACATACAGCCTTATATTATTAAAAAAATTAGAGATCCCTACGAAAATTACAATATTCTATCCCAATGCATAAAAAAAATGCCTAGTGAAGTTAACATAACTAAAATATTAATTTATCTTTTTATCATTTACCTGTTCGAAGCCAGAGCGATTCGATAGTTGTTTATAAGAAATATCACTCTAATATCTTTACACGTTAAATTCATTTTCTTTAAAAGGATTAATAAATATTCCCTGTATCGTGTTATGTCAAATGACTAATATGATTTCAGGAAAACAAAATTGAAGTCTGTCTTAACTTTCAAATGTATTAAGTACATACTAAAGTCTAGTTATTGCTTGTCTCATGCTCTGAGACTAGCAACAACTAGACTGAAGAGTTCTAAAATCTTTAGCTTTTTTTACTTTACAACACAGGGGGCAAACTAGCATGCGGCTCACCTGATGATAAATGACTACCGTCGCCCATGATCACCTACAACACCAAAGGCATTACAGGTGTGCTGCCAATTTTTTAATAAGGAATATACTCTTGAAGGTTATGATACCGTATCGATTCGAAAATACTGCTTTCTTTCATTAATCTTTAGCTGTAGGGTTTTTACCCTTGTACATTCTATAGTTTTGTTTAAGATTCTCAAAAGTTGAATGTAAGATCCCTTTATGGGATAAGTCCACCATTGTATATTAAATCTTTTAATGCGTAAAATTATGTACAATAAAGATTTTACGATACAATACAATACAAAGAATTGTGATTAATAAAACTAATTATATTATTACAGCATTAGCTTATAGGTATTTCCTTTTAGTACTTACTCGACGCCGTGTAAGTCTTGGTATAGAATAGGTCACCCCATCCTTTCCCATGAGTGTCGTATGAGGCAACTAAGAGAGCTTATGATGGAGGGATAGGCATCAGCGTCCCTCTTAAAATATCACCAAAAATCAAACTGCGGTTGCCAAACCGCTTGCCAAGCGTTGCAACTACTGGCAAAACCCACTTATTAGGAAGGCTATATCCAGCAGTGGTTAGTTAATAGCTGATACAACAATTTACTCGGTAGCTGATTCCACAACTTTTCTCCATGAACCCGTTATCACCTGTTTCTGTGGGATTTCTCCCGGTAAATATGGAAGCATTGACTCTTAATACTTCAAATTAATAATTAAAAACCATTTTTTTTACAGTGCAAATAATAACCACGTTGCAAGGAAGACAGTTGTTGATGTATAAAGGACATTTTTATAGCAAGACTTCTTATTTGAGGAAACGGTGGAGATGTTTAAACACGAATAGTTGTTATGCAGGTATCTGTGTCGACGAGGATGACCAAACCTATATTCTGAAAGAGCCTCCTCCCCACAACCATTTGCCCAGAAGGTTTATCGTAATGCCTGACGGCAGATACAAAATCCTTAAGAAAAGTCTTTAGAATACTCTTAAATACAAGTGCAGTTTATTTTAATATTGTGTATAGAAGCTTAAGAAGGTTTGTCGAAGTAAATTTAGGAGTAACGCATCTCGTTACTAGTATAATATATAATAGTGTAATAGTATACTGTTTTTTATGCAACTTAGAATGATAAGCTGACGGCCACACCTGATGGAAAGTGGTAACCGTCACCTGTAAATATGAACAATACCATAGACATAACAGAGTATATTGTTTCACCCATGCGTTGCCATTTTTGAGGACTCAGGTGTTAGTCCTCTATACCCTGTAAATTCACTGTCATATCCCACCCTTCAAATTAAAACACAGCCATGCAAACAGAACTCCTTCACGGTAGAAATACGAATGGGACAGAGGTACCCAAGCAAACGACTTTTGTACAAACTCTCACTCTGATAAGATTGTGAAATTTACAATGGTACAATAGATTACAATTCCACTAATATTATAAATGTGTATGTCTGTGAAAGTGTTTGGGTGCTTGGATGTTCCTAATATAATCACATCAAACGGCTGAACAGATTTCAATGAAATTGTATACACAAATGGTCAATGTATAAAAATTATTAATTAATCAATTTCCTTATTAATATTATCAGCTTTATTCACATATACCTTATCGTAGTTACCGAAGGCTCTAGAGATTTATCACTTTTTCTGTTACTACTATCGAGTCTGTAACTGCCTTCCTTAGACGCGATAGGTGCTTTTAATCTTTAAATTGTGTCACAAGCCAATATAAAAAAAAGTTAATCTCCCTTATTCATAACAACTAAAACCTTCTACTTTATTGGATTATTTTGTTAGTTTACTTTCAAATTGGGAATTTAGTGTAAAAGAATGACAGAAAACAGTTCGATAGCTAAAAGTTTATGAGTTTTGACGTTTGTATGAATATCCCTTATTCATGTGCATATCTTTAACGTCCCATTACTGGGCATGGGTTTCTCGCCGTAAGAAGAGGATATAACCAACTACTATTCCCTCGTCAAGGCAGCGAGGGATAGGTTTTTGTTTATTCTGTTTTGAGTGCACTGTAGTTCTTTCTTTCTAATCTTAAATAAAAAGAATGATGACAGTGAATTTTTACTGTACCACAAATGGAGAAGGCTGATGTAAATATTTGTAATTTATTAATACTTGATATATTTATTATACGACTAGCTGACCCCGCGAACTTTATACCGCCTAAGAGTCGATTTTAAATTTTTTTAGTTTTTCTTTTTAATACTTATTCTGCTATTTGAGACGCCGGATCAGTTAGTAAGATAAAAAATTAAAAAGAAAGTTAATAAGTCAACAATTACATTTTGTGAAAAAACAAAAATTATAAAACACGCCGTACCAGGTCACTCGATTGTTTTACCTTCCCGGAACGTCTCCACTAACACTTGAACTTTATGGTATGGTATTAAAGTTCAAATTGACTTTTAAGTATTATTACGAATCGTTTGTATGATTTAGGAGTAAAGAAAAATGTTGTTTTTAGACTTTTTCAGGCATTTTTTTTTTATTTTTCTCTCCATAAGAACTATCCTCATACTTCAAAGAATATTCTAAAAATTAACTACCAAAATTGATTCTGCTATTCTCAAAATTTGCGCTTAGCAACACATTTAGCGATTCATTTCTATATTATAGATAAATGTTTGCCAAAATAATTATAGTACAAATAAGTTGATAACAATCTAAGAGTTGTTTTTGTTCGTTATTCCTAGTGTTTTCTTTTTTAATGGATGATAATGGAATGGTTATCCCGCCTGCACCAACGGTATATGCTGGCGGGGCACCAGTGAGGAATAATAGGCGAGAATAAAGAGACAGGCAGTCAGCCTATCGTGACGAACACACCCAGAATTCGGCATGACGGTTTTTAGGGGAGGCCGCGTGGAGGTCGACCTGACAGGGTATATTTCTAGCAGCGGGTCTGGTAGTCCGCATTACTAACAATCCCTCCCCACCTAAATTTTTTTTACAACACAAGGGGCAAACGAGAATGCGGCTCACCTGATGGTAAGTGACTACCGCCGCCTATGATCACCCACAACACCAACGGCATTGCAGGTGTGCTGCCGACCTTTTAAAAAGGAATATACTCTTTTCTTGAAGGTTAAGTTGTCGTATCGGTTCGGAAATACTGCTGCTGGAAGTTGATTCCAAAGAATGGTTGTGCGTGGAAGAAAGTGTCTTGAAAACGCACGGTGGAAAACCGCCACTCATCCAGATGGTTGGGATGAAACTTTAGTTTATGACGGGTTGTACGATGGTGAAAATCAGCAGCAGGTATTAATCCGAACAATTCCTCAGAACACTCCCCATGATAAATTCGCTAGAAGATGCAGAGATGCAACATCTCTGCGCAGTTTCAGTGGGTCGAGTCGGACAGTAAGGCGGTGACTATCAATAATTCGAGCCGCCCAAAATTTATAAATTTTTATGACAGTACCGCAACTGGGTATATTAATAATCAATAAAACCGGTTTTTTTTTTTCAGTGGAAGTAATAACCACGTTGCAAGGTAAGCAGTTATTGAAATATCAGGACCATTTTTACTGCAGGACGCCATACATGAAGAGACGGTGGAGATGCATCAACACGAACTACTGTTACGCGGGCATTTGTGTTCTCGACGATTTAACCGTTATAAAAAAACCGTTATGCCACAATCACATGCCGAAAGAATTTGAAATTATGCCTGATGGTCGATATAAGTTTTTTAAAAGTTTGTCATCTAGTTTATATAGAAATCAGTATCAGTATTCGACTAGAATAGCAAACTAAATCTATTTCAGTAGACGCCCACGCTTTCATATCTCTAGAATTCTAGACGGTATAAGAAATACGTTATTCTTGGTCTGGCTGTTTTTAGAATTTACTAATAAAAAGATATAACTTTTGTACTTCGTACGTTTCGCGCAGTTTTATATTTCAACTAATATTTTAATAAACGTTAATGCTATCAATTTGAAATGTGAAACATCTCTGATGGTTTTTTTTTATACAACTTAGAATGGCAAACAAACTGACGGCCCACCTGATGGAAAGTGGTAACCGTCGCCTATAGACATGATCAGTACCATGGACATAACAGAGTGTACTGTTTCGCCCATGATATCCCCCATGCGTTGCCATTCCTGAGGACTCGGGTGTTATTCCTCTGTACCCAGTAAATTCACGCCGTATCCCACCCTTCAAATCGAATTTATTTTTATTACATAGATTACTGTGTAGCTATATTTTATTTTACTACGGTGATATTCTCTGATGAATTACTATATAAGGTGAAATCTAAAACGTTTGCGGTTACGTTAAACAAAGAATACAGACAGAACAGAAAAATAAACAGAAAGTTTGTGAATCAACGATAAAAGTATTTTCATTAGTTTGTCAATTATAATTATTTTGTTTAATTCCGTTATCGTTAGTATGCGTATGATGATGTGATGATGAACGTTTGAAGGTTTACTTAGTAGAATATTGGAGTCCGTCAATATTGTTTTCCTTCCTTAGTTTAACTAAAAAAAAAGTACCGACTGAACGGAGGAGTGTGCGCGGACGCTTGCTCCTGTGAAATATATGTTATTGAGTGTTTTAAACTGTATATGCCCTGAAGAGTCCTTTTTTTTTACAACACAGGGGGCAAACGAGCATGCGGCTCACCTGATGGTAAGTGACTACCGCCGCCCATGGTCACCCACAACACCTACGGCATTGCAAGTGTGCTGCCGGCCTTTTAAAAAGGAATATGCTCTTTTCTTGAAGGTTATGTTGTCGTATCGGTTCGGAAATACTGCTGCTGGAAGTTGATTCCAAAGAGTGGTTGTCCTTCAGGGCATATACAGTCATTAAGAATTACTAGTCAGTAAGAATTTGTGTATACGTGCATATACAATTTGAAGAAGAATTGTCGACCATCTACAATAAAGAGAAGTCACGAAGTCGATGCCAGGTTAGTCCTTCTCGACTGATAGAAGTTTTTCCTTATAAAACTTTTCCATTGCGGTATTTTACCTTACAATGAGCATGTAAAATCGCTCTCCGGTAAGCTATATCAGGGTTTTTCGTGAGTGATGAAGGTACCTTAAAAACTCATAGCACTAAAGGATTTTCACACGAGTAGCTCGTGGATATGCTTCTGTAATAACCACTGATATACATTGAAAGAGACTAACAATTAACACAAAAAACAAATTTGGGTTAAACCCAAATTGAAAATAAATAAAAAGAAAAATATATGATCTACATACACTGCTATATAGTATATATAGTATATATATGCATATATAGTATTCAACACCAGTCATGCCTTCCATTTTTGTATAATTTGTAAATTGCTAATTAAATTAAAAAATGGTACTAATTATTGCAGACGATTTGAATTTAATGTAGAATTGACTCTTATCAGATATTTAAGAAAAATGACTGTATTTTTTTTATTATTACTATTTTTTTTCTTTATCTTATTTTTTATTTTGTTGTACGATTTTGGTATTATTTTGTTTCAGAAAACATTACAAGATTAAGGAAATAAAGATGTTTTAAATTTGACTGTCTTGCATTAGATTATAATTATATAGTTGTACATGGATTGGGCCCAAGCTATTTACCATCTTCAATTCTTTCTTTTAAATTTTTTTTCTTTTTTAGTATACGAAATAATATTGTCTGGCGGCAAGAAGTATTTAATGCTCAACGGCTATACATTCACGAAGGACCACAGGGTTATCCGTCACTTAGGGTACAGATGTACAAATACCACAATATGCTATGCAAAGATCCGCGTAGCAAATGATTTGACGCTGCTTAGTGACATCCCTATACATAACCATCGACCTCCCAAATACAGTATCCGTAACGGCACTTATATTAAATTGTGATGGATGCGATTCTCCTAAGTTGTTTTTTTTTTTTCCTTAACTCAACGCGTTTGGACAAGTTTGTTATTTTTTTGCTTGTAGAAATAAATAAATGGTTTTCCAAATGTAGTTGTTCTTCGTGTTTTCCAAACTTTTTGTAATGTTAAACAAATTCTCGTTTGAAAGAATCGTAATTTTAGATTTGCTTTATATTTATTCATTACATGTTTTTATCAATTCTGTGTCTAATTTAATAATTCTTTTTTACCATTCGTATTGTTTACTCCTTTCAGTTAGTCCCATATTAATTATGCCATTATTAAGTCGACGTTTTTTTTTTGTGAACAATTTTTTTATGTCACTTGGAGTTAGACCAAATAAGTTGACAATCCACCTGATGGAAAGTGAGAACTATTGATTAAGAGATGAACAATACTGAATACGCCCACGACCAAGGGCGTTTACTTTAGTACCCCATAATTATTACAAAAGTTAAGTAAATCATTAAATTCAGATTACATATGTACAACACATTTCTAATCTGGATTTCTTTCTTTGTATATATAAAATGATGTGATCTTAAAACAACATTATGTTTTGCGCAGGCGATCCCCAAGAAATAACATTGATTAATGGGAAAAAGTTTATTTTGTACAACGGTTACACGTACAGTTTCGGGTTCACGAACCGAATCGGCCAGCGGTGGCGGTGTAGCACAGGCTGCAAGGCCCACATAGTCGTCACCAGCAACAAGGAACTAGTTACGGCCACCGGGGTCCACACACACGTCGCACCCAATTACCACTTGTTGTCAAATGGCAGATATATGAAAGTTAATAAGAATTGATGTTCACGCCATGCATGCATGAACAGAGTGATAACTCGCCTCACCATCGACAGAGAGTTCACCCTCATACCCTATAGCCTAGATGGTCGCAAACAACGCGGTTTCAGAGATATTTTCTTCCACGAACACTCAGGTTATGGAATGAGGATTCCAAGGGTTTTCCAAGAGATTATATCATGGGGTTCTTCAAAAGGAGGGTAAAGAGGTTTCTTTAGGATCAACAACGCGCATGTAATACTCGTACCCCTGGTATTGCAGCCGTTCATAGGCTACAGTAACCGCTTACCATCAGGTGGGTCGTATGCTTTGTATTACGTATAAATATTTGTATAAAAGAAGGAAATTTTAGTTAATAAGACTTGATCGGCATAACTATTCCAAATATGTCTCCTCCATCCGTATACATCCCTTGATTCATCCATATACATTTTTCACACAACGCAAACACGTTTGTGAAAATTGAAATTCTGCCTTAAACAGGTCACAGTCTAGTGTAAAAAATGTATGTGTAAACATTTTTAATAAAGCTGATGAATCTGAAAGACGGTACCCTCGCCATCTCATTGGATTGGAATATGCTCGGCAAGATGTGGCCAAAAGAACTGTGACAATTATTTATGTTAACAATAGTTTCTATCTAGTCTTAAATCGTGAGATAGTTTGTTTATTTGTATTAGGCTTTTATTAATCTTTATCAATATAAAGATTTCATATTAAAATCGGAAAGTGATTCTTTTGCTAGATCTGTATAAAGTATTTTTTTGTCTACCATCAACATCCTACTTTAGTTATATTTGCCAAAATAATTGGAATATTTTTTGTGTTATTTGCAAATATTTAGTGTGATTTAATTAGTTTTAAATCATAAAGTGGGTGTTAGACATGATTATGTCGAAAATTGTTGTGTCGTTTAATTTTTAATTAATCTTTATATAAGCTTCATAATTTAGGTGTAGTGTAAATTATAGATGTTTTAAGAGATATTTCTCAAAAAATATTTTGGTATATGTCTGGTGTTATAAAGATGGGTTTTGTTAATCGATGCTGTGTAATATGGATTTGTTACTAACAATAAATACAATTATTCCATAAAATACTAGCAGTAGGCTGTACATATATAAATTGTTAATCTTTATCTTCTGTAACATCTATCATTACAGTTGAAATCGTAGTAAGAAAAAATATATAGTTTTACACATTGCCTATGTTTATATAGTTGTATATAGCTGCGCAGAGGTCTCACGTAAAACGGACCAAATGAGAGGTTTATTGCAGAGATGAGAGTCCGATTTACATTACATAGCTGCACAGATGAAGGATTTCATGACCACGAGAGAAATTCTCTGTATTCTATTTAGACGAAAAAAGTACGTCGAGCATTATCCTTCGTTTGTGCAGGTCCTATACTATTCATCGTTGCCATTTTACCTATAATTCCACAGTGTAAGGAAAAACCAGTGGTCCAATTCTTTTGCTTTATTCCGAATAATAACACGACATTTCGAGATTATATTACTCTACTTGAACATGTTCGTTGGACACCCGGTAGTAAAAAGTTCCTTAGGCTGTGGTATATAGATCGTAGTGTAGTCGGTTGGAGAAATAATATAATATTGAATATATACATGCTTTTTATTAAAACATTGTCCCCATTTATTTTTAATCATAAAACGCTAACCAGCTGCAGTAATTGTACATATTTAATAAAATGTGACGTTAAGCTATAAATTCAGGTTCACACAGCAGCAACTCTTCCAGCTATTTAAGTTGTTGCTAATATTTATGTTAACCTGCCAATTTTTACAGTCGCCAGTGATCAAAATCACTACTGTGTGGACCCAGCATAAAGATGTTTATAGTGTACAGATTTTTTAGGCCAACAAAATTTAAAAAAGAAATATTTATCTTTTTAATTGTTAGCAGTAAAGAAGAAAAGCATTCGAGATCATTGAAATATTTTTTTTTTAATCTGGAATGCTTTTTAATTTTTTTTTCTCTTAGGGTCCGCATAATTTTTTTTTTCTATTTTAATTTTAATTATTGTTTTTATGTTTCATGATATGCAAAATGTATGTTACCTTACAGGTAAATCAGCCCCACCATCGACATCTTACAAAGATATGTCGTATAGATTCGTGACATCTGAAAGAGGAAAACAAATTTTGCTTTGCGGAGGTTATAGATACTACTTAAAAAGACACACGCAAACCGGACGCACGTGGCGGTGCGTTAGAACTGCAAATTGTTCAGCGAAATTGATAATGGACTATCATTCTTACATAACAAAACAAGACCCGCATACTTGTGAGCCTGATTTCTTAAAAAATGAATTCAGCGATTTCGTCGAAGTATGCAAAAAGAAAATGTTTTCCGAACCCCATAAATCGGTTCCGAAGATATACAAGGACACGGTCGCCCAATGGGCACAGCTGGGACTGGCGGTGCCTACATTCGCACAAATTAAAAGCACCCTGTATAACAACCGTTGGAAACGAATTTGTGATCTTAGTAACACTTTGTTCCCATCTTAACTTTAATACTCATTGGTTTTGATTTTTATATTATTTTCTGCGAATTTTTTATTCGCGTACTTTATGTTTCGACGTATACTGTTATCATGCATTTTTTTACATCATACATGTTTCATATAAAATCTACAAAAAATTTCGTGCTACAATCCACAACTAAACTTAAAAGTGATATGATACAAGCCATAGATAAAGCGCGCGCATCGCACACAACTCATTATGTCGGGCATAGACAAAAACCTCAAGTTATAATTTTAAATTAGGAATTAAAAAATCTATTAAAGTAAATCATTTTATAAATGCTGGACAAAGATTCAGCATTACACGTAGCTGTACACGTTTTAGTATAAATATACTAAGTATATTTTAGTATATTTATAATAAATGTACTTTATGCTAAAACGTGGATCGGCTGAAATAATATTTCTTAGTATTTTTAGAATACTAATTAAATACACTGTATTACGAGTACTCTATTCTTGTTAGCTTCTTAATGTAAGTACTTTAAGGTAATACATAATTGCTTCATGTTTTAAACAAATAAATAATACATAAAAAATGTACTTTTATTTTAACAAAATTAATTTAGAGTATTTTACGCGAAGGCAGTGTAGGACAAATCACCAAGATGGAAAATGCTTTGACAGCAAGTAAATACCTAAATACAGATTCGATTTTAGTAAATTAACACTTGTAAATACTTAACAGTGTTCACGTTAACTATACATAATACAATATACTTCAGAAATAAAATATATTTATTATTTGAAGAAATAGGTGCAAAAAGTCATTTCGAGAACGTGTCGTAAGTAACAATCTTTTAACACTGGGTATAATCGTAAAGTAAAATAAGTTTTACAGATTTTTTTTTACCTATGGGCTAGGAATTTTGTCTAATGTTAATATCAAGTGATTATAGATTATATATATATATATATATATATATATATATATATATATATATATATATATATATATATATATATATATATATATATATACTATAAAATAAAATAACAAAAGAAAACAATTACTAGAATTAAGGGTAAATATGAAACTTTAAAGGAAAGACTATGACGAACCTCTGTTAAATCCTACTACCTCTCCCTTTAGTACAATTTTCCTGTGTTCTCTTTTAATTTTTCTTCGTCATTCTCTCCTGTTATATGTGTGCTATTAAATATGTGTATGTTTAATATCTATATAATGGGGGGAAAGGGATTGTTAGTAATGGAGACTGAGAATCCCATTGCTAGCAATATACCCAACCAGGTCGACCTCCTCGCGGTTCTCCCTGGAAACTATCATGGTTAATTACTGATGAATTCATCATGATGGGCTAACTAGCCTGTTCTCATTCTCATCCCTTTCACACAAAAACTATTGAACTAATTTGAAAGAAATTTGGTTGGTATACGAGAGCAATAATGGTAGATGATTGGTGAGGATGATAACAGGTCAGTTAACCCATCGTGATGAACTCCACAAGAATTAACCATGATGGTTTCCAGAGGGAACCGCGTGGAGGTCGATCTGACAGCATATATTGCTAGCAATGGGGATGTTAAGACACCATTACTGACTTACATTACTTCTCCCCGGTAAGTTATATATTAATTCAGCACATAGGATACTTTACATACTGATTCACGTGGGAGAAGTCGCGGGATATAGCTAGTAAAAAATAAATATTTATTACAATAATAACAATGGTTTGACCACAGGTTACCTCAAGAAAGTGACATTAATTAATGGCAAAGAAGTATTCATTTACAACGGATATACTTATTATTTAGCCTCACAAAACAATATTTCACAAAGATGGCGGTGTACCAACAAGTGCAAATCCACCATACTGATCTCCAATGAAGGAAAACTAATGAAATCCACCGGAGTACATACTCATAACGCCCCAGTATATCATGTAACGGCAAAAGGATTGTATGTCAAGATAAAATAATGGATGTACATATTTTATACCATTTTACTTTCATTTGAAAAAAAAAACAAATTCTGACGTAATTAGTTTTTTTTTTTTATGCAACTTAGAATGGCAAACAAGCTAACGGCCCACCTGATGGAAAGTGGTAACTGTCGCCTATACGAGTAGACATGAACAGTAATAACAGAATGTAATATTTCATTCGTGGTACTCCTTATTAATCATTTTAATTTAAGAACCTAAATTAATGTACCGACCTTGATCAAATTTCTATGGGACCAATTCTAAAATATCCTTTCTTTTAAAATGAAAAAAATCCGAAGTATTCAAGAAACTTCGACCAAGCTGCATACAGAAATAGTATCCGGGAAACTAAAGAACAACAACGATCGCACATGAAATATAATGTTCTAAAATATTTCATACAAACCACGCGGACATGTTCACCCAAAAAAATTTTTTTTTTTCCATTATCATGCCATATTTGTGTACTTTTTGTAATACGTTATAACTATAATTAAAGATTGTGTCTCATAAAAAACCGAATTCAGTTGTGACAAAGCCAGTTATTTTGATCTAAAAACTAAACTACTAAACCGATTTCCATAAAATTTCTATGGTACCAATCTGTAAATATGTCCTTTTAGATAAAAGAAGAATTTTTCAAATCGGTTTAGAACTGAGAGAGTTATGAGGTAACAAACAATTTTATAATAAGATGCAACACTTTAAAAAGATTCTGTAATTCTATCGGTATTACTTACCTCCTGTAATAAAATGGTAATACTTTAAACTTGTAATAATATCAAAAAGGTTAACTTAATATTAATGTGACGAAAGTTTAATAATTTTTAAAACTAATGCTCTTTTTTAAGATATAAGCATCGTATTACCATGAAGACTTTTGATTGAAGTCGAAATAATTGTCGGAAATGAATATTCAAGTAATGGTTTATAAATTTCTGTTGTTCTGTTGTATATAAGTGTAATTATTGCAGGAATCTCTGTGAACATATTTGAAGACAAGATATTAAGTTTGTAACGTCTCAGAGGGGAGGTCACATATTGTTTTACGAAGGCCATAGACATTCCCTTATGAGGAATTTGAAACAAGGCGCAACTGCATAGCGATGTATAGGCAGAAACCAATGTACTTTTACAATAAGTGTTGTTTTACTAGGAAACCTGTACACCAGTATGCGTCTGAATTTGTTAACAATGAAGTGAAAATGGTCCTTGAAATATGTAGAGTTATAGATGGACATTCAACTCCAATTAGTACAATATATAATGAAGAATCTTCAAAATTAAAACATTCGGTTCTTAACATAGACAACGTTGTGCCTGAGTTTAAAAATACTATTAAAACTCTTTACAGATATAGGTGTTAGAAAAAAAAGAAATCATAATGTATGCAAGAAAGTAATGTACGTTCAAGCAAAACTTATTAATTAGTTTTGCTTCAAGCTTGCTTGCATACTCTATTTGGGTTTAGTGGTTATATCACTATATTATGTATACACAAGTGAACTTACTTCGAACTGTGACTGAAGATAATAACTTCGATAACGCAAGCGTTCATGAACTGCATGGTTGCATCCTTAGTATACACAAAATCTACTGTAGCTATATGTAACAAAATTTTTAAGAACAGTGAGATAATGAATGAAATTGTTACAGGACCATGTCCAAATATTCAAACGCCGACTTCGACAAACCAAAACAATGAAGTTATAAAATTTATTACTTCTAAAAGGGGAGATCAATTATTGCTACATGATGGTTATAGATATACTTTAAAGAAGAAAACAAAGGAAGGCTCTGTATGGCTCTGTCTGCATAAACTACAGTGCACAGCACAACTGTATCTGGACACAAATTATTCTATAGTCAGAAAACATCTACACTATTGCACGCCTGACTATGTAAAAAATGATTTCAAAGAATTCCTTGAAGAATGTAAAAAGAAAATCATTGCTCGACCATTCGTTCCAATAACAAGCATATACAAAGAGGAATTTTCAAAATTGAACAATCCTAATCTTAAATCACATAACACACCCACAGCTGCTCCTGATTTTGAAAATGTTAAAAGTTCTCTTTACAAATACAGATATGATAAAAAGAAGTAAAAATATCCTTAATGTATTTC